AGTGGCCACAAAACCCCCAATGCCCCCCCCCCCCCCACAAAAAAAATGACTGACTTGTTGGACCAGTTGTTGTTTTTTTCCGCAGTCACTCTTCTATATTCCTCTCTCTCTTTCCTCCCCTCCCTCTACCTTTTGCTCTCTCTCTATTATTCCCCCTCCCCCTTATCTTTCCTTCTCACTCTTTTCCCCCCCTCATAATAAAGACAAAAAAATCTCAGCAGACATGGGGATCTATCATGAGGAGAGAACAGAGATGGTGTGACACAAAGGGTTGAAGTCATTATATCAAGATAATGGGAAAGATGACTATTGTATTGTGCGTCTGCAGAGATCCGCAGCCGCCGTGGCAAAGCCTAAGCTTCCATTCATGCTGTCAGTCACATGTCAGTCACACATTAGGGAAGGTAAGCCTATCAGTGGCCGATGATAAACCCAAAACAATGGCTTTCCTGCGGACCTCACAAAGGCTGCCCAGCGACTGTCAGATCTTGTAGACCTCCGATATCCATCCATCATTGCGCGCAGCTACCTTGCGTGTTTGGCTCCCGGTTATGTATGGCGTCTGTGAGTCAGAGAGGGAGTGATCTGGTGGTCAGCTGGACATTTCCAGCATGCTGGTCAGTTTTTACATACACCTTAGGCCTTTACTGTTTCAATTCCTTATATGATTCTATATCTACAAAAACTTTTAGTTGAGGTTCGGCAGGTGTAAACATTTGAGCAGTCTGGGTCTTCACTGGGAACGCCGATGATTTTTAAAGTGCCAAACGTTTGCACGTAGATATGGTCTACCAATGTAACATTTGTAACAATTTGTTTTACACCAGAAGCCAAAGAAAATGCCCGATACTTCAAGGTATGGAGGAGTGTTGGACTCACTCCTTGTCACTGCTCTCGGGCCAACCAGAGCTGTCACATGGAGAGTTCATAGCCTTGGATGAGTGATGACTGGTAGCTTACCCAAGGCTCCAGGTGTCTGAATGGAATGGCAAGGTGGGGCAAAAGAACGGTAGGAATCTGTTGCTGGGGTGGGCTGGATCCTTTGCAAAGGACAGTATAAAGGAGATTGCACAATCAGATCGTAAAGACAGACCCGGAGAGACTGAGCGGAGGGGCTACATGACTGGGGGGCGGAATAGTCCCGGGAGAAGGAGTTCAAATAAAATGGGAATAGCTGCTCTTACCTGATTGGATGTTTGAGTCAGGTGTCCGGGAGGAGCCGCATGGGAAGGAACTGCAAGGGCTGAGGGACGTCCTTTCTGAAAAATCGACAAAGGAAGCAGGTTGTCCCTCCCTCCCTTCCTGAATTTTGTAGTTATGCGGGTTGTGGGGTTCTTTTCTGTCACGGCAGCTTGGCGGGTTAGGGGGTCTTTGGGGGGTCTACAAAATCGGAGTCGATTACAAAAATGGGGGGCCATCAGCTACTATGGGTGCTTCCCCCTGTTGGGGTCTGGATTTGTAGGGGGCGGGGGCCTGGCCCCTTGGAACCTGGAAGTAGTAATTGTCCTCGAGCCGGTTTTGGTGCGGCTGGGGACATGGGTGGAGTGTTAGGAGAGGCCTTTTTGGGCTGTTGGGCACCCAAAGAACCCTTCTCAGGTCAACAATCGTTTAGAGTATTATTTGGTTTATAGCTTTTGGTTATTGTTAAAGTTGTTTGGGTTAATAAAATGGCTGCTGTGGCCGTTAAAATCCATGTCGCGCAGTCCGTGTGTTTATTGGGGTTTTAGCAGAGGGACGAAAATTGACGAATCCATCAGTCATGTGTGTGGGCATCTTAACGCTAGCTAAGCCCTAAACTAAAACACTAAACTAAGCCCTTCTACGCCAGAAAGAACTGAACGCTAAAAGCCATCAATCCCGCTTGGCCACCAGCGACGAGATACCGACACTGTAAACCGCGACTAAGGAAAACGATGGAGCTTTGGTTCTTTTATAGATGGACCCCCGCGTCTTCTCAACAAAAGATCTGTCTCGTTAAAGTCCCGTTTTACTCGCCCGCTCCCCCTGATCAACCCCAATTTGTGCGAGAGTGGATTCTCACCCCAGGGCGCTGCCCCGTCCACACCAAAGGCCAGAAGCCGGCCTGTCGCCATTTGTTCCCCTCCCAACCTCATATCAAAGGACAAGCTGGAGGAGTTTGTCTGCGGCGGAGGCAGTTCAGTTTCCCATGAAAATCCTTCTCACTTCCCAGATGTCACCTCTCCTGCCCTCTCCTGCTTGATGAATACATTAGCACCGACTTCATAACAACTGTTCCTGCGAGGTTAAGTCAGTCCCTTTGTGTCTTACGCCTTGGCCCGGGGTTTGTTTAATTCCATCGCCGGCTTAAGCACAAACTGGGGCACAAAGGACGCAGGGACCTGCGGGCCGAACGTTATAAATATGGCCAATGTGACCCGGATTTATCACTGGAGAATGCGAGCGGTAAATGTGTTTTATAAAGACAATAGGTT